CTGTTTTCTCCTCAGGTAACTTCTCAGTTGCTAAGTCTCAGCTCAGTGGTTGTTGAGGGGTGGGTGGGGGTGTGGGGTGTGGGTGTGTCTACACACACACTCTCCCAGCACCGCCAACCTCTCTTCCTTAACGCTTCTTATGTTTGTAGAGTCCTGTCTGTCTGGTCAATGGGACTGAGTCCTGTGTGCCCACATATTTGATAAAGCCATATTCTCAGTGCTTCTGTGAGGGTGTTTTAGGCGAAGTTAACATTTAAATCAATAGACTGAGGACAGCAGGCTGTTCTCCCGAATGTGGGTGGGCCTCAGTTGAAGACTGGATGAGAACAAGATGGCAGAACCACCTCCAAATAAAAGGGAATTCCTTTACCTCTACCTCTACCTGACTCCAAATAGCTGGGACCTTGATATTTTCCTACCTTTGCACTAAAACAGAAGAAACACTGGTTCTACCTGGATTTTTGACTTGGAGGGGAACTGAGTCCTTGGCTTCTGGGATGTCCTACAAATCTTGGACTTGTCAGCTTAACTATGTGAGTCAATTCCTTGGGATCTCCTATCCTCTCTCTCTCTCTCCCTATATCGCTGAATCTCCTATGTGTGCTGGTTCTCTGGAGAACCCCCACTAATACAGAGTGAGCTATAAGAGGGAGGAAACCAGGTCTGGTTTTGTTTACCATCCCCAGAATCTGGTACAGCACCTGACATATAGTTTGTGCTCAACCAATAGTAATTAAAGAAATGAAAAAGAGCTTTGTAATCGAAAAAGGGTTTGGAGGTCAAGCTCTTGTGGGACTGGGAGGGGCATTTCAGGAGGAATGGTTGTGATAAGTGAAGCTGCCACTTAGCACCTCCTGTCCCTGGCAGAGTGTTTGGCTCCCGCACACCTCATGTCATTTCCTTCCAGTGAACTACCAGCCTCTGAGATCATCATTTATTTTTACATTCAAACAAGGAACTTGGGGCTCAGAGGGATTAAATTACCTGCCTGAGGTCACAAAGCTGCTGAGAGCCAGATGTTAGTTGTAATTCTGACGTTTCTACCCTGAACCATTCTAATTCTGGAAGTTTCTAAGGCCTTGTCTTTTTCCCATCCTGAGTCCAGGATTCATCAAACCTCCCAGTCAATTTAGTCCTCAACACCCATATTGTGCAGGTCCGTTTGTCTCCATGACCGGGCTGGTGTCAGCTGCACTGGGTTGTGAGGACATGTGGCTTTTTGGGTCATCTTGGGCATTCTCTCGACCAGAGGTCCTTGGGGCCTGCTTCCGCCTTCACTTACCAGAGGGGCCCTGCCTCCAGAGACAGTTCATGTCACCCTCACACAACATGCCTCTGGCGTCACTCTCCCCATGCCACATGCCATTTATGTCGACCCTGAGGTATAGATTTATTTATTAAATATTCATTGAGAGCCTAGTTATGTGTCAGGCCTTGACAACATGAGGTAAGCAAAATAAATTCAGTGCTTATTGTCAGAGGGTCTGTGATTCAGGGGAAGCATACTCACTGAACAACTGATATCACATCCATGTGTGATGAATGCCAGCCTCCAGTATCTTCTATAGCACTCAGTTATTTTAAAAGAAAATGTTCCTCTCCCCCTTCTGTTTTCAATTTATAGCCACTATTTATCTTGGTTATGAATTTCCCTTGTATTGAGACTAAAGCAAACCTAATTCTCCTTTCTTCCCAACGCCACTGTGCTAATCTTGCCTAAGACATAAACCCCATAACAGTTCTCCAGCCAGCTGATCTCTCTCCACATGCTTGGATCTGTGTGTGTCACATGGGGCTGCATGTCTGTACCCCTGAAGGTCAAGAAAGAAGCAGACAGACGACCCCTGGCCAGATGGGAAGCCATAGGAGAAATGCTGCATTTTGGGGGACTACCAATTTTGCCTGAAATTTGGGGGTATGGCAGAAATGTAATCATTAAACTGAAAGCAAACATTTTATGGGTGTAAAATGTAAAATTCCTGGGAAATTTAACATGGGAAAATAAGACTTTCAAAAAATCCGTTGTGATCAGCAGCTCTCTCGGGGTCTCTGGCCTGTGCCAGACATGTGCTATTTTATCTTTGCTGAGAAACTGGGCTGTGTCTCAGTGCTCTTCCTCTAGGGCATGAGGCTCCTGCCTGGCCCTGGGAGTGTGGTGCTTGGTGGGAAAGTTTAAGAAGGATCAGTTACCACAGGATCCAGACTTTGGGTTTAGAGGTGGTGCTCAAAGAATGAATGAATAAATGATAACACAATAAATACAAGGGCTCCTAAACTTTTGACTCCTCTGCTCATCAAGGACCTCCTGTGAGCCATCCTCCCCATTTGACAGCCTTAATATTTTCCTTTCACCCACATCCAACACCTTTTGCTAAGACTTTTTAAAGGTTCCTGTGACTTCCTAACTGGAGATTTTTGCCCATTAAGGTGTGCTGCCAACCTCTCTCTGGAGTTCCCACGTAACCCCTAATTATCTCCACTACTCATTTGAGTATTAAAACATGCACTGCCTTCTACATTGTTCCTGAAATGTTTCCTGGGTACAGCTAGGCTCTCAGCCAACTTTGATATTCCTTGAGTGTAGTAGGTGGGTCTTACCTTTCTATTGTACATCTCAGGGTTGTGAACAGTAATAGATATACCGCAGATGCAAAAAAAAAAAAAAAAATTACGTGCAAGGACTGACAAAAGAATTTTATCTAAATCTTTGTTTCTTAACCAGGCGCAATTTATCCCCTGGGGGTATTTCACAATGTCTGGAGACATTTTTGGTTGTCACACTGGCCTTTGCTATTTGCATCTACTGGGTAGAGGCCTGAAATGCTGCTAAACACCTCACAATTCATAGGCAGCCTCCTGCCCCCAAGAAAGAAGTGTGTGACTAAACTTTAATAATGCTGCTTTTAAGAAATCCTTGTCCAGAGCCTCCCTGGTGGTGCAAGGGGTTAAGCACCTCACTGTGAAGCAATCCACAGCCTCTGCAGGATGAGTTCGATCCCTGGCCGGCCAGGGAGAAACCCACATGGTGAGGCAGACCCCTCCTGTCTTGCCCACTGCTCCTCTCAGCAGTGTATTTCAGTCAGTCTGCCTGTTCTGTTCCCCGCTCTGTCTCTGGTGAATCCTCTCACTCCCCGCATCTCTGGCCTGTACCCCAGCTCTCGTATGCATAAATAAATAAATCTTAAAAAAAAAAAATCCTTGTCCACCTTACGGTTTCTTCCTAACTTGTTTCTTGTCTCTTTAGTCTCCTGGTCAGAATCTGACCTCTCTGTCCTTTTTTCCCCCAAGCAACTCCTCTAAAAACAAAAGAACTGAAAGTCTAGGTCAATACTCTTCAAAAGGATTTCAGCAATGACAGAAAAGTCCTAAATCTGCTCCACCCAGCAAGGTTGCTGTCAGTTATGCTTAGCTTGAGATGTGGATAATCTGAATTGAAATCTGCTGTAAGTGGAAGACTCACACCATGACTTAATAGGAAAAAATTAAGATATCTCATTAACAGTTCTTAACAGTTCTTGGTTTCCCTTGCTATCAGAAAATCTAGTGTTCTCATTTGGTAGATTACATTCAGGCTCTGAATATTTTTCCTATATAAATGAATGGCTATAGCATTTCAGAGCCCAAACATATACTTATCAAATCATACCGAATATGAAAGTTCTATTTTGGATATTGAGGGAGGCCTGTATCTCATCTGAAATCCATGACAAATCCATGAGGTGGATGTTGTTATTTTACCTATTTTACTCATGAGAAAGGTCAAGGAATATTAGAGTCAGGCAGCTAACAAAGGGTGAAGCTGGGTATGGAGCTGTGTCTGTGTGGCATCAAGCTGGGTCTGTGAGGCTGCGGGATCCCCATAATCTCCACCCACCACACTATACTCCCATCTCCCCCATGTAAGCCTTCTCATGCAAATGAGCAAAACAGCACAGATATTCGCCCTCACCTACCCACACATCAGCACCAAGAGACTTCATTTCATTCACCTCACACAGGAACTAAATTGGAAGCTAGGATGATGGTGGGAGACAAAAGGCTTCATTTCTGGCTTTCCACAGCAAAGTGTGGTGGCAAAAGGGCGCCCAGCAGAAGGTGCTGGTCAAACACAGCTCTCTTTGTGCCTGAACATCTTGGCAGCTGCACATTATTTAGCCTGACATTGGGACATGGATTATCTCTGCCTTCTAGGCACTTCTACTCTGGGGAACTGTTTCTTTTCTAGAAAGCCTTCCTGCTAGCTCCAGACAGGTCCTGTCTATCACCATACTGGCTGTGGAGTCAGTCTGCTGATGTCAGTCTTGGCCTTTGGCCTCTAAACACTCAGTACCACTAGCCTGGAAGCTACTTTGCTTTGTCAATGCTCTGAAAACTTTGTGTCCTCAGGGCCTGTAAGCCAGGCTGCACTTGACCCCTCCCCATCCTCTGAAGCCTTCCCCTCAGTGCTCACTGGAACCATGGGCTTCTAGAGTGCTGGTTTCCACACCATGACCTCTCTAGAGACCACAGACACCTATCCAAACAGTGCTTACAGTTCCCTGTATTGTCTCCACGTCCAGCAGGTCTTGTTCACAGCAGCAGGTCCAGTGCGGGTCTGTCCTGCACCATCTGCCCCCTTCAGTTCCACATCACCAGGCTGGCCCAGGCCACTCCCACCCACTGCCCGGACTTGGCAGTCCCCCCGACTGGGCCTCCTTCCTCCTCAGGGTCGCTCTCCCCAAACAGCATGAGTGATCTTAAAACATAACTCAGATTGTGTCACAACGTTACGTGACAGGACTTATTCATGTCTTATTCATCTCTGTATTCCACAGCCTTAAGCAAATGTTTGTGGAACTGAACATGAGGCTTCATCTCTACTGAAATACTGAGGGGGAGCTGATCCGGGGTGAGTCTGACACCCGTGATTTCTTTACTCCTGTTGTGTATAATGTGTGTAATGTGAACCTCGAGGCTGTCACCATCCCCTCCCGCATCCCCTGCCCCCCACCGTTACTCACACTTGGTGTGCCTGTCACACAGGGCCGACGCCCTCATGTCACACAGCCGGATTGTCCCTTTGCTGCTGCTGTACACGAAGGTGTTGCAGTGATGGGGGTGGAACTCGGCCGCGGTGATCACCTCTGTGAGCTCCTCCATGTTGGCTGGCTTAATGTCAACGATATCTGGCACAGACGAGTCAAGGAAGGGACGGAGAAGGCGACAGAAGGTGGGGGGACTAGCAATGGCTACTCACTTATGTTAGCACAATGTTAGCATTTAACACACATAGTGGATTCTTGTAACTCTGTGAGCAAACAGGCAGGTACTACTGGCCCCAGGTAGGGGAGGCCCAGGTTACCTGTGGAAGAGGCAGCATTTAGAATACAGCTCTCCCTCGCCCCTTGTCAACATGTCATCCTCCATAACACACAGGAGATATCCCGTTTACGTCAGTTATCTGCACATACAATCATGCTAACACATGCCAAGTTGCAAAGACTCATCTCTCATTTTGCAGCAGTGATTAAGAAGCTGGTCCCAACTAAAGAATTCCATTTATTTGAATCCTTACCCAGAATCCTGAGCTGATAAGTAATACCTATGGTAGATTGTAAATTCACTTCATGAAATCCCAAGATCTTTAATAATATGTGATCATATTTATGATAACAATAATAGCCACTGCCATTTATTGAGCACTGACTGTAGGTCAATCCCTGGGCAAGGCGTATCATGTATTTTATCTTACTTCATCTTTGTAACAGCTCTCTAACCATCACTTTTCTTATCTCTATTTTCCAGGGGTGCAAGCAGAAGCTCAGAGTATGTAAAGCAACTTGCCCCAAGCCTCATGGCTGAAGTGGAAGCACTAGGATTTTGTCCCAAGCACAAAATGCATGCTCTCCAGTAATTATACAAAATTTCTCTTATTGAGGACATGCAGGATCTCAAGTCTCCATAATTTGTGATTTGCTTTAGAGCTTGTATTGGAAGGAAGTCATCCACTTGTATGTGGGACAGTCTTGTTTCTCAGTATTTTTCTCTGTGGTCAAAAAGCATGTGTGTTTTTAAACACCACATCCCTGCACAATGGAATGCAACATTTGTTCTGTAATCTGTTGACTCAATGGGCAAACACTTCCTGGGGTGTCTAGCCTGTGAGGGTGAGTGTGTTTAAGTTGGTTCCTGCAAACCCCAATCAAGAACTTGGGGGACCTGGATGCAGGTTGGGGGCAGAGCTATTGTCTGAGGACCCAGCAACTTCCTGCAAAGGAACAAGTCTGCAAAAGCTGGCCAGAATGAGTCTACTTTTTCTAGATTTTACTACTTTTGAGTGACCCTGGTGATTTTTGCCCCACTGCAAATTATCAGGCAATATTTTTTACTGAACATTATTTCTTTAGATCAATATAAAGAATACTCCCCTTGTCTAAGCAGTTACCTGATACTCATGAAATCAAGGGTTTAGTAAGCTACTTATATGTATAAAAATCTACATGAAAATAAATATAACAATGAAAATGCAATGACATAAATATGAAATAATAATTTCCATGAAATAGAGCTGATGAGACTCAACAACAACAAAGAAAATAATCCAGTCAAAAAATGGGCAGAAGAGCTAAAAAGAAACTTCTCTGAAGAGGAATTGCAAATGGCCAACAGGCATATGAAAAAATGTTCAACATCACTTGTAATCAGGGAAATGCAAATCAAAACTACCATGAGATACCATCTTACACCAGTGAGAATGGCACATATTAAAAAAACTAGCAACAACAAATGTTGGCGAGGGTGTGGAGAAAAAGGAACTCTTCTGCACTGTTGGTGGGAGTGCAAACTGGTCCAACCACTGTGGAAAGCTGTGTGGAGATTTCTGGACCTACTAAACATAGAGCTTCCATATGATCCAGCAATTCCACTCCTAGGTATTTACCCAAAGGACACAGAAACATCAATTCCAAAGAACACCTGCACCCCTATGTTTATAGCAGCACTGTTTACAATAGCTAAGCTTTGGAAACAACCCAAATGCCCAAAAATAGATGACTGGATCAAGAAGATGTGGTCCATATATACCATGGAATATTACTCAGCATTCAAAAAAGATAAACACATGCAATTTGCAGCAACATGGATGGCGCTGGAAGGGATCATGCTCAGCGAAATAAGCCAAAAAGAAAAAGAAAAATACCGGATGGTCTCACTCATAGCAGGAATCTAGAAAACTTAAATAAGGGACCAGGAAAATGAATAACTATAAGAAAGTGAAAATCAAAATCAACAAAAAACTATGAACCAGAGACACTTTTAGGGGGGCAGGGGTGGGAGGGGAGGGATTGGGGTCAGAATGGGGGGGCTGCAATTGTATGGGGAATATAACAATAAAATTTATAAAAAAAAATAATTTCCATGAAATAATTTATATAAAATAAATATGTAACAATGTATTTATGCATGTTCCAGCAGTTTTTGTATCCCATTTTGGAGAACATTGTATTAAATCAATAGCAATAACAATGCAGCCTATACTTTTAGGATGGGCTGTATGGAAGTCTTCTATGCTGTTCATTAAATTAATAGCACAGTCCTGTCACTAGAGTTTAGAGGAGGTTCAAGAAAATGCACTGATATTTTCAGTCACACAGGACTCAAAAGTAGTCATCTATTGTCACACCTCACCTATGCCCCTGCCTCAGCTCCAGCATGCAATTTGTTGCAAAAATGGCTTTGCATTTGACTGTGCCTCTTTCCCCTTCAATAATCTCTTATAAATCCTGTTGGGTTCTTTCAAAAATTAGCTAGAGGTTGAACATTCCATTTTACAATTTCTCCCACCAATCCCAGATGCAACTATCACTTGGGTCTCAAATACTACCTTTCAACTCAATGGCTGCCAGGGTTATAAATATTATTGCAGTTAGCACCACATGCTGGGGCGCAGGGGCCAGCACCCCCCGGGAGGCCCCAGGCTGCAGCTCTTATGTGCTCTCCAGCCCCCTGAGCTATCCCTAGGCTTTGCGGCCAAGACATGGGGTGGGGTAAGCAGAGGTTAGTGTTCAGTTGTGATCAGATTTCATCACCTTCCAGAAAGAGCCTGCATACCCCGCTGTGCCAGTGAGCATGTTTCTCTTTTCCCAAAATAGGGAGAGAAAATCTGGCATCGGCTTTCTCAGCCTCTACCAGGATAGCTCTAACAACAAGCTGAACTGGAAGGGCTCTTTGCTGTGTGGGAGGAGGAGGTGCCACATCTATGGTTATTTTTTTCTCACCTAAAAATAAAGCCCCAAAGTCAGAATGTGTCAAAATGAAATGCTTAAACATATCTGAGGAACCAGGAACACCCCCATGGTCAAGATCACCATCATGGGGATGTGCCACTGAGTCAGCTAAGGGCACCGCCTCCAAATACATCCCCTCCCCTGCCTACCCTGGACATGAAGCCCATCACCCCTCATCCCCAACACTTTGGATTCCCCCCATTCGGGGTTTGAGACTCCCTTTTGACTGGAGGGCTTTGGGCCTGGTTCTGCAGAGTTAAGGGGATCAACTGTGACTCCACTCTTCTAATAACCATGATGGTAAGGATGAAGAGGATGATAATGATTGGTGGGTAATGTTTATCAAGTGCTTGGCCAGCCCTGAGCTAAAAGGCTTACAAGTATCATCTCCTTTGCCCTTAGGAGAGACCAGCACTATTCACAGGCCAATTTCCAGCACAGGAAATAGTGCCTGAGGGAAATGACTCAAAGGGCAAGCAGTGGGTAGAGCCGGGATCTAAACCCAAGACTCCAGAGCTCCGCTTCTTGACCACACCCTGCCTCCCTGGAGGGAATGCCCCACTGCCCTGCACCCCCTAGCTGAGCCAGCCTCTCTGAGTGTGGTGCTTCTGACTCTTGGGACCACCCCAGTCAGTCCAAGAGGGCAGCTCTGTCCCTCTTCTTGGGTGTGTGCCCTCCTGATTCCTCTCAATTTGGATGCCATGTTTTTAAGAAGCAGAATTTAGGACTCAGCATCTGGCTTAGGACATTGGTGTCCTAATATATGATACACATTTTTGAACTGTAAGTTAGGACAGGTTCAAATGATATCTTGAATTGATAACTGATGAAGGATTGGCTGAGTTGTGGAAACATTTAATTACCCAAAATTCAATGACTTCTGGGGGTGACAGGAGAGGACATTTCACATCTGCATCATCTGGAAACCCGGCCTTTTACAGGGCACTGTTTTGAAGGGAGAAACATGCCTTTGGCATATGTGGATTTGCCCTTCATGTTGGGAGGAAAGGAGAAAGGAGATGAGCAATGCACGGTTCTCTGCATTATCTTGAAAATGGAATGATGCGTTTTGACAGTCAATTTTCTCTTCCCTATCCTTTAGAGCTCTCTATCCAAATTATTTCCCTGTTGTACCAAAGAACTAAATGGCAAAAGCAAAACATAGCATTGGATTCATGGCTAATATACGAGGCAGACAGCCAACAGATTGCTATTAAATTAACCCTGGGGCTTGACAGATCTGTTCCTCCTGACCCCAACTGCTTATGGCATTCCTTATTAATGCCTAGCCCAGGCAAATTACCTCTGCTAACGAAAGGGGTTAATGTGCCTCTCTGCTGGGACTCTGGAGGCAGCTCTGAGGACAGGAGAGGGCATAGCCAGTTTGGCAGCTGAGCTCCATGCTTGGAAGACAGAAGGCGGGAAGGTGAGGACACTGCTGTGGAAGGCAGTAGCCTAAGGCGTCATTTAAAATAATAATTGAAGACACTGGGAGGTCACCCCTTAAGGGATCAGCTTCAAACAAATATGAAGCCAGAGCCATAAATTACATCAGCAGTGGGGTAAGGGAGTTGAGAGGGTATGGCAGCATGCTATGGGGTGGATGGGGCCATTCTGAAGTCATTTCCCTAATCCCAAGCTTGTAATAATCTTTCTACAAAAAAATACCTACTGCAACACGATAACAAAAGGCTGACAACAAGCTATATGTATGGAAACAGGGAAATGTTTTGATCTATCCCATTAGATTGTTTATGCAATGAAATTCCAAATCTGGTAAAAAGCATAGCATTGAAAAAATCTACAGTGTGTTTATAATGTCATTAAAAATGTCCACTCTGAAAAGGATGAGCTAAAAGGCAAGGTATCAAGTTCTATTTCAGTGTGGGGAGCTATGCATT